CTACTACTAATACTAACTACTACTACTACTACTGCTACTACTACTACTACTACTACGACTAAGACTACGACTACGACTACGACTACGACTACGACTACGACTACGACTACGACTGCGACTACGACCACGATTACGACTACGACTACGACTACTACTACTCCTCCTACTCCTCCGCGCCACGGCCCCGGGGCCCCCGAGTCCGGGGGGGCCCCGGGGCAGCCAGGCCGCCCGCGCCGCGCGCGCCCGTGCGCGCCCCGCGCGCACGGCCGCGCAGCGCGCGGCAGCCGGGCGGGCGGGTGCTGGGCAGCGGGGGGGGAGCCTGGCTGGCGGCACCGCCGCTGCCGCCGCCGCCGCCGCCCCTGCCGTCGCCTCTTCCTTCCGCTTCCGCCCGCCGCCGCCGCCGCCCCCGCCGCCGCCGCCCCAGCCGCCGCCTCCTCCTTCCGCCGCTGGCCGCCGCCGCCGCCCCTCTCCGCCCCGGGCCGCGGCCGCCGCCGCCCAAGCCGCCGCCTCCTCTCAGCGGTATTTCCGCTGTGGTTTCGTCCGCTGCTTCTGCCTCCTCCTCCTCTGCCCCGGCGCCGGCCCGCCCCCCCCCCGCCTTTCGCCGCCCTCCTCAGCGCCTCGCTTCGCCCCTGCCTCGCCGTCCTCCTCAGCGGAGGCCCGCCGCGTGGCGCAGCTGCCGCGCCGCCCGGCGCTGGACAGCGCAGCTGACCGCGCTGTAGGCGCGTGACAGCTCGTAGTGCTGCCCGTCGTCTGGCAGCTCGCGCGCGTGACTGAGCAGCCACTGGCGCGCTTCTGCGCCGAGCCGCCCTGCAGTCTCCACGGCGAACGCTGTCAACCGTTCGCCGGGATAGCGTTTGTGCTTCTCCCGCTCTGCGCGGCGCGAGGCTTCTCCAGGCCTCCGGGCGGCGACGCGGACGGCAGGCTCACCCCCCGCTGCAGGGTGCCGCACACTGACGTCCACCCACCTCGTGCCATCCACGTCCTCGTACTGGACATCGAGGATAGCTCGCTCGAAAACGGCGGGCCCGTCGCCTTCGGCTGGGCGCCGGGGCCGAAAACGATCCCAGGTGGGCGCGCGTTGTTCGTGCAGCGGCCGGTCGTGCGTCCACCGCGCCGCCAAGGCGCCCACCGCCTTGGCCAAGCCGCCGTGACGCCTCGCCACGCCTCCTCCAGGCTAGCAAGTGGCCGCGTGGTAGCCGTCCGCGTCAAGTGGCGCCTGGCAGCAGGCTCCAGCCGCGGTCTGGTTGCAACACGTCGCAGCTGCCCGCGCCATCTCGTCGCGAGAGCAGTTCTGGTCGTGGCAGCAAGAGGCGGCAGCGCGTCGCGGTGGCCCACTCCACGTCTTCCAGCGCGCACGCTGCCTCTGTGGGGTATTGCAGGTACGCCCCAGATTCCGTCCCGCCAGCGGACTGAAGGACTGCCTGGTTGCGCAGGTACACTCGCTGCCGGGAAAAAGCCAGAGTTGTTTTGTGCACCGTGTCCACCGTCGTTTTCTGCCTCGTCGGCCAGCCAATCGCCGTGGCGAGCGGGGCGGCGGGGGACGGCTCCGCGCCCTGCCGCGCCAGTTTTGCGCGCGCGTTTGCCAGCGTTGCTGCGTTGCGGGGGAGAGCGCCCAGCGCGTCCGCGAGCGAAGCGGCGCCCAGGTCGCGGCGCACCTCGTCAGCGGCGTGCGTCCAGGCGGCCCAGAAGGCCGCGGATCGCCTCGTGGTCGCCCACTGGGCCCCCTCGCCTCCGAGCTTGCGCGGCAGGCCCAGCAGCTCGCAGGCCTCTGGTCCAAGGGGGCGGTCCAGCAGCTGCCCCCAGCAAGCCCGCAGCGCGGCGTCGTAGCGGAAGGCCTCGCCTGGCGTCGCCAGCGCAATCTGGAGGTAGTGCTGGCTGGCGTTGCCCGCGTAGGTCGTCAAGAGCGCCGCCCTTGCTTGCTTGGAGAGGCCCCCCTGGAGCTCCTGGAGGCGAGCGAAGAGCTTCTGCAGGCGCGCCTCCTCCTCCTCCTCCTCCTCCTCCTCCTCCTCCTCCTCCTCCTCCTCCTCCTCTCCTTCTCCTTCTCCTCCTCCTCCTCCTCCTCCTGCTCCTCCTCCCCCTCCCCCTCCCCCTCCTGCTCGCGCGCAGATACGCGGAGGCATGATGTCTGCCTTTGGGACGACGCCCATGGCGTTTGAGGCCCTGTTTCTTACACCGGCGGGTCTGGTTACGACTCAGGTGTTCCTGAGGTGCGGAGATGTGGACAAGCTGTTGTGCAGCTTGATCCTTATTCTTGGCCCCCAGTTAGGGCGCGTTTCGGGCCCCTTCCGTACTCGGCGCAGAGTGTCGGCCGTGCTGAGAGGTACGCGATCAGGGAGGGGCCCGACGCTATCCCTGATCACCAGTGGTTCGTCACTGACATGCTGGCGCTCGCCCAGGAAGGAGAGCGTTGGTGTCCCGAGCTCGATCAGGGTCGCGCCAAGCATGCTCGAGCGTGGCGGGGCATCTTCGTGGTCAGCCGCAGGCGCACTCTGCGCCCCCCCCCTCCCAAGTTCCGATGGACGCCAGCGCACAGGTCCTCGGAGGAACTCATGGGCACAGAGCCGCAGGAGCTGCGTGACTGGCTAGGCAACGGCTGGGCGGACTACTTCGCGCGCCGTGGTGCGGCCTCTCACGCGCTGGCTGGGTCGGTAGCTGAGGCGGTAACAGCTGCGCTGAGAACGCACCTCAAGGTCCTGCAGTTCATTTCGTGGGCGGCACTGCAGGTGGCGGCTCGCAAACAATGGGGATGCGACGTGGAGGTCCCCAGGTCACCTTGCGAGCAGGCCAGGCCCACTGCGGTGGCACGCAGTACGGACCATGTCCTTGCTTACTGCGCCAGCCTCGGGCGGCGCCGATATACCCAATGCGGGGTCACGGCCACAACGGGATCCTCCCTCGAGTCGCTGCAAACTGGCTCTCATCGTGTATGTCGCCCTTCGCGTGTTACCGGCGGTCTCAACGCCGAGTACTTCCGCGCCTTCGGCGAGGACTGGGTTCTCTGCAGCGCCCAAAGGGATGCATGGCCCTGGGCGCGGCCTTGGCGCTCGAAGGGAGCTCGCAGCCCTCGGCCCTCGCAGCCTTGTTGCCACCTGCCCTGGCCGCGGAGGTCGGGGGCGCCTTCGCTGCGCTTGAACGCGACGTGTTCAATAACAACAGCGTTTATTGTTGCATGCGCTGCGGGTCTCACTGTGCTGCGGGAGATGTCTGCACAGTACGGAAGCTTGGCTCGAGGTGCGATGGGCTCTCGCCCGACGAGTCCACGCGCCGCAACCAGCAAGATGCGATCAGGCGCGTCGAGATCGTGCCCGACGCACCCCAGCGGCGCCGCCCCCGCAAGGGAGCTCCTCTTGCAGCCACGCGGCGCGTTGATCGACCATGTCGTGATTCGCTGCCTTCCCGTGGTCGGCTGGTGGCACGGCATCTTCTTCGGTGGCGACGCCTCCTTCGTCGGCGGCAAGTTGGCCTGTGTCCACGGCCTTGAGGGTGACTTCTTCCAGTTGCTCTCCTTCTACATTGCCTCTGCTCTTACGGCGCCGCGCCGCGAGTAGGCGGCGCCAGGGGATAGTCCGTCGCGCGCCCGCGTGCGCGGCGGCAGACCTTCCTGAGGCGCTGCGCTCCTCCTCTTCCTCTTCCTCCTCCTCCTCCTCCTCCTGCTGCTGCTGCTCCTCCTCCTCCCCCCCCTCTCCTCCTCCCTCTCCTCATCCTCCCCCTTCTCCTCCTCCTCCTCCTCCTCCTCCTCCTCCCCATTCCCCTCCTCGCCCTCCTCCTCCTCATCCTCCTCCTCCTTCCTCTGCGCTCCTCATATTGCTCCTCCTCCTCCTCCTCCTCCTCCTCCTCCTCCTCTCCCTCCTCCTCCTCCCCCTCCTCCTCCTCCTGTGCTCCTCCCCCTCCTCCTCCTCCTCCTCCTGCTCCTCCATTTGCCTCCTCCTTCTCCTCCTCCTCCTCTCCTCCTCCTCCTCCTCCTACCCCATCCTCCTCCTCCGCCTCCTCCTCCTCCTCCCCCTCCTCCTCCTCTTTCCTCCGCGCTCCTCATATTGCTCCTCCTCCTCCTCCTCCTCATCCTCCTCCTCTCCTCCTCTCCTCCTCCTCCTCCTCCTCCTCCTCCTCCTCCTCCTGCTCCCCCCCTCCTCCTCCTCCTCCTCCTCCTGCTCCTCCATTTGCCTCCTCCTCCTCCTTCTCCTCCTCCTCCTCCTCCTACCCCATCCTCCTCCGCCCGCCTCCTCCGCCTCCTCCTCCTCCTCCTCCTCCGCCCCCCCCCCCTGCCCCTCCCCCCTCTCCTCCTCCTTGTCGTCCTCCTGCTGCTGCTGCTCCTCCTCCTCCTCCTCATCCTCTTCTTCCTCCTCCTCCCCCTTTCCTCCTCCTCCCCCCGCTCCTCCTCCGGCTCCTCCTCATCATCCTCCTCCGCGTCGTCCTCCTCCTCCTCACCCCCCCCCCTCCTCACTGGCGCGCGCGGTGCATGGGGGCCCGAGCGATGGCGAGGGTCGCGGCCGAGCCGAGCCACCGAGCAGGCCTCTGCGGGCCTCGGCGGCGCAGCGCGGCGGTAGTGGCACAGGTCGGGCGCGTCCTTCTACGGGGGGACTAATCGAGAATAGTTAAACAATCAGAGGCGGCAGCGTGGAACGGGGATTCCCCGCTGCAATGTCCCGGCGGAGAACCGCGGGTCACGCCCGGAGGCCGCGAGGAGGACATCCACCTCCATCCTCCTTGACGCCCGCCGCCTCATCCTCCTCAGTCCTCCGCAACGAGCACCTGCTCATGCGCCTTCTCAAGCAGCGCCACCCTGGCATCCCCCCCCCCCATCGCCCTCCTGCTCCTGGCCATCCTGGTCCTCCTCCTCGTCCCGCTGCTGCTGCCTCCTCCTCCTCCTCCTCGTCCTGATGGTGCTCCTCCCCCCCCTCCCTTACCTCGTCCTCGCCCCCCCCCCCCCCCCCCTTCCCCATCCTCCTCCACCTGCTCCTGCGCCAGATCGTGGATAAGACGCGGCAGGCTGCGTGAATGAGACGGCGCCGATGCACCTACATCCGCGGACAGCTTGCGCGCGGATGAACGCGCAATCGATCCCCGCGGCATCCCCGTGAACTAGGCGGTGCAACGGACCGCTTCTGTCAAAGCCTCGTCTCCCCCCTCGGGGGCGGTTGACCCACCCATCCCGCTAGCTAGCAGACCGTGGAGGCCTTGGATTAGGTATCCAGGGTCTGGAGCCTTGTGGAAATCCGCTTGTGTGGAAGGAGGGGCGGGGGGGCAGAAGTTGTCCGCCCCCAATCATTGTGAGCTTTCTACCCTCCCTCCGTCTCCTCCCCCCCTACTTCCTCCTCCCTCCCGCCTCCCGCCTCCCTCCCCCCTCCCCCCCCCCTCCCTTCCACCCTTCCTCCGCCTCAGATCCCCTGGAGGAGGGCGGCAGGTGAGCGGCGCGGTTGCAGTTGCGCCCCCGCGGGCGGGTTGAAATGTGTCGCCCAGTTGGGATTGCGGTTGCGCGCCCGCGGGCGGGTTGAAATGCGTCGCCCAGTTGCGGTTGCGCGCCCGCGGGCGGTTGAAATGTGTCGCCCAGTTGCGGTTGCGGTCGCGCGCCCGCGGGCGGGTTGAAATGTGTCGCCCAGTTGCGGTTGCGGTTGCGCGCCCGCGGGCGGGTCGGCATGTGTCGCGTAGTTGCCTTTTGCGCGCCCGCGGGCGGGTTGAAATGTGTCGCCCAGGTGCGGTTGCGGTTGCGCGCCCGCGGGCGGGTTGAAACGAGTCGCCCCGTAGCGGTTGCAGTTGCGCGCCCGCGGGCGGGTCGATTTGTATCGCACAGTTGCGGCTGCGGTTGTGCGCCCGCGGGCGGGTTGAAATGTGTTGCCCGCGGGCGCGCCCCCGCGGGCGGGTCGAAATGTGTCGCCCAGTTGCGGTTGCGGTGGCGCGCCCGCGGGCGGGTTGAAACGTGTCGCCCAGTTGCGGTTACGCTATCGCGGGCGGGTCGCAATGTCTCGCCCAGGTGCGGTTGCGGTTGCGCGCCCAGTTGCGGTTGCGGTTGCGCGCCCGCGGGCGGGTCGAAGTGTGGCGCCCAATTGCGGTTGCGGTTGCGCGCCCGCGGGCGGATTGAAGTGTGTCGCCCGGTTTCGGTTGCGCGCCCGCGGGCGGGTCGAAATGTGTCGTTCAGGTGCGGTTGCGGTTGCGGTTTCGCGCGCCCGCGGGCGGGTCGAACTGTGTCGCCCAGTTGCGGTTGCGGTTGCGCGCCCGCGGGCGGGTCGAAATGTCTCGCCCAGTTGCGGTTGCGCGCCCCCGCGGGCGGGTCGAAATGTGTCGCCCAGTTGCGGTTGCGGTGGCGCGCCCGCGGGCGGGTTGAAATGTGTCGCCCAGGTGCGGTTGCGGCTGCGCGCCCGCGGACGGGTCGAAATGTGTCGCGTAGTTGCGGTTGCGCGCCCGCGGGCGGTTTGAAATGTGTTGTTCAAGGTGCCATCCTGACGTTCAGACAGTCAATCAGTCAGTCAATCAGTTTGTCAATCAGTCAGTCAGTCAGTCAGTCACCGGCGGGCACGGAATTTTACCCGGCTCTGCCGGGTTGGAGTGGCGCGGGCCGCGGCGCCGCGGATTTCTTGGATCGGCATTGGACCCCCCTCCCTGGTGCACGGAGCGCACCAGGGGCGGCGCCGGAGGCGCCGCCAAGGGGGTCCAGCGCCGATCCGAGAAATCCGCGCGGACCTTTGAGTTTGTATGTTTGTGTAACTTTTTGGTCCCTTCAGTGCGGTGGCAGTGGCGTGACCACCACGGCGCGGGCCGCGGCGCAGTGGCGTCCGCGGGGCCGCCCGAGGCCTCCGAATGCGCAGGGGAGCTCAGTCGCACGGTGCGCCAGGGCGCGGATCCGCCGCAGCGCCCGGGGATGTGCGGGCAGGCTTGGATGCAAGCCGGGGGGCGTCAAACAGTTGGGGGTCCCATGCCAAGAAGCACCCTGCTTGCCTCTGGGTTTGAGTATCGGGACCCGTACACTTCTGAGACCCCTGCCGCAACTGCTCAGCACTGCTTTGCAGCCCGCATGCTGAAGCAGGGTGAGCTGATTTGCAGCCGCGGGCCACTTGAAATCTTTCTATGCAGTTCGTACCAGCTGAGGAAGAGGAACAACTATTCCCCAATCAGAGCTTGCCTCTGTAGGGGTCCTAGCGGATTAAAGGATTAGGTGAGAGGTGCGGCCGATTTCGGTGGCCGGGCCCGGGTGCCCGGGGGTGCCCAGGTGCCCGGGTGCCCGGTGTGCGGCCGATTTCGGTGGCCGGGCCCGGGTGCCCGGGGGTGCCCAGGTGCCCGGGGGTGCCCCATAGCCCAATAGCCCAACAGCCCAGTAGCCCAGTAGCCCTATAGCCCTATAGTCCGATAGCCCTATAGCCCGATAGCCCTATAGCCCTATAGCCCTATAGCCCTATAGCCCGATAGCCCCATAGCCCTATAGCCCGATAGCCCCATAGCCGATAGCCCTATAGCCCATATAGCCCCATAGCCCTAAAGCCCTATAGTCCTACAGCACTGTCCACATCACGATCGATTTCAGTACGGCAACAACGACGGCGACAAGGTGATTTCAGTACGGCACAACGACCGACTACAAAGGGAGCTATTGGAAGATTGAAAGATCTGATTGGGTTGTTTCTCCGGTATCATTTGAAGACCACCCGCCCCCAATCCGTGAAACTTTTGCAAATATTTAAAACGAATGTGCGCCGCGCTAAGGCGAGAGCCACATTTTGAAAACGATCCGCCCTCCATCTGTGAAACTGTTGCCAATGCTTGAGCTTCAGAATCAGAAATGGTGAGAAAGTCTCAGGCGAAACGCCCGACCCGCCATAAAAACTGGCCTCGGGGTGCGACAGGGAGAAGTTATCCATTCCCCAATCAGAGCTTGCCTCTGTAGGGGTCCTAGCGGAGTAAAGGATTAGGTGAGAGGTGCGGCCGAATTCGGTGGCCGGGCCCGGGTGCCCGGGGGTGCCCCATAGCCCAATAGCCCAACAGCCCAGTAGCCGTATAGCCCTATAGCCCGATAGCCCTATAGCCCGATAGCCTTATAGCCCTATAGCCCTACAGCCCTATAGCCCGATAGCCCGATAGCCCTATAGCCCGATAGCCCGATAGCCCTATAGCCCATATAGCCCCATAGCCCTATAAAGCCCTATAGTCCTACAGCACTGTCCACATCACGATCGATTTCAATACGGCAGCAACGACGGCGACAAGGTGATTTCAGTACGGCACAACGACCGACTACAAAGGGAGCTATTGGAAGAAACAAAATCTGATTGGGTTTTTTCTCCGGTATCATAAATAAGACGACGAGGAAGGTAGGAGAGATGAGCAGGAGGCAAATGATGTTAGTTTACAACCCTCCTAAGTCCTCATGGAACATAAACGGGGTTCAGAGTCCTCCTTTGGCTCCTATTGCTACTGCTTATGCTGCTGCTGCTCCTCCTTATGCTTCCCCTCCTTCGGGTTGTGGAGGTGGACTTCTCGGGGAGGAGAGGATGAGGTTGTCTGTCCAGCCATCGGGCGTTGATATGCAATGGTGCTCGCCAATTGTTTCGGGCCCGTGCTACAGACAGAGACGGTCGTCGTTCCTTCAACGCATTCAATCCTGAGCGCGAGAGGAGAAAGGACACGTGTCTAGAGTGAGCCATATTAGCGGACGCACGCGGAAAATATCCGTCCCCTCCTCTCCTCTCACCTCCCTCCCTTCCCCTCCTCTCCTCATTCTTCTGGGATGTCGTCCTCCCAGCGTTCCGGAGAGCGCCCCCAGAGGTGGGCGAGCAGACCATCGCGGGCGTCTTCGACACCGGCTCGTTCGAACTGTTGGTGTTCGGTGAGGAGTGCACCACGTGCGGGAAGGCCCGTCCGCGGGGCGCTGGGAGAAAGAGGGTGGAGGGCCTCCTCCTCATCCTCATCTTCCTCCTCCCTCCTCCTGCCTTCGTCCTCGTGGCCCTCCCCCTCTCCTCCCCCTGCTGACCTCCTTCTCCCTTTCCTCGTAGCCACTCTTGCGGAGTCCATTGGGCGAGCCTCGGCGGCTGCTCGCTTTCTCTCTATTTTTCTCTCTCCCTCTATCTTTCTCTCTGTGGTCCTTTCTGTCTCTGTCTCTGTCGCTCGGACACTGCTTCCGCCTCCATTTGCTCCTTCGGATGGAGGCCTCCAGAGGCCCCCGAAAGCCCCGGGACGTCCCTGAAGGTATCCAGAGGCCTTAGGCAGTCTCCGCAGACCTCGAGAGGCAACAACAAAGACACAACTGAATCGGGCCTGTCCCTTTACAGGAGGAATATCCCAAAATAGGAAAAACAGTCTGGGGACGATGTTTCGAGCACATTGTGATCATGTTTGGGTATTTCTTAGGGGTATTTGCATTTTTCTTTCAAAATTCGCCTGTAGCGGGACATGCCCTACAGAACTTCAACGTTCCCCTCAATTCTTGTCCTCCCGTCTCCACGCTGCATCCCACGGGGCAGCCACCCGCCCGGAGGAGGGAAGGGTGCTGCTTGCCCGAGCTCTGCCCGGCCTGCGCTGGCCCCTCGGTGCGCGCGTGCGACAGCCAGGGTCCAAGACGAGGTCCCCCTCCTCCTCCTCCCCCCCTCCTCCTCCTCCTCCTCCTCTTCCTCCTCCTCCTCCTCCTCCTCCTCCTCCTCCTCGTCCTCCTCGTCCTCCTCCTCCTGCTCTCGTCCTCCTCCTCCTCCTCCTCCTCCTCCTCCTCCTCCTCCTCCTCCCTCCTCCTCCTCTCCCTCTCCTCCCTCCCCGTCCTCCTCCTTTTCCTCCTCCTCCTCCTTCTCCTCCTCCTCCTCCTCGTCCTCCTCCTCCTCGTCCTCCTCCTCTTCCTCCTCCTCCTCCTCCTGCTCCTCCCCCACTCCTCCTCCTGCTCATCCCCCTCCTCCTCCTCCTCCTCCTCCTCCTCCTCCCTCCTCCTCCTCCTCCTCCTCCTCCTCCTCCTCCCTCCTCCTCCTCCTCCTCCTCCTCCTCCTCCTCCTCCTCCTCCTCCTCCTCCTCCCCGAAGCAGACTCTATTCGGGCCTGGGCGCTTTGGGCGTTTTTAACATGCACGCAAGGCGACGCCGAACTGTACACGGGCGGCCTCAGCCCGCGCTCTCTGCACGTAGGCGGGCTGCATGTTTGAATACATAAACAGCTCACTGCATGCGATTTCTCTCTGCTCGAACGGACGAACCAAACTCTTGGAGCAGGTCGTTACCTGACCCCCGCATGCGCCAAACCCAGGCCCATAAGTACGTGCGACGCCGCTCCCAATCGGAAGTGTGCACGCTATCTGGGATGCTGCCGCGCATCTCAGGCCACAGGCCGTCGCAGCACTGCGTGCCCTTTTTTAGAAGGACAGTCTCGGTGCGCCCGTTCGGGCGCACGACGCGCACGCGGTCGACGGCGGCCCACTGCTCCACATCGTGGGAAACTATGCCGTGCGACAGCTTCAAATGTTTATAGTGAGCATTGAAGCGCTCTGCACTGAAGCGAGGAGGGTCCTTGCCCTTGTCGCTGTGCGCGGCACGGCTCTTAGGAGCAACAGACTGGCACGCGCCAGCACCGTCAGTTAAAAGAGTGAAACTGCCAGGGACGAGAACCCAAGACAGGATCTCGTCACATTCCTCCCCGCTGAGCGATACGCCGCTCCCCCCAGCAGCACAGGTGCGCTTGGGTAGCTCGAAAAACATCGCCAAGTACCGCTGCCCCCGGGGCAAGACGCACATAAATCGGTGATGCATGATGCGATACCGCCCATGAGGGTGCTCGCCGCACGACTTGTCTGAAGAGCCCGACGGGCAAGGCACGCGGCAGGCGCGCATTGACGTCTCGTCGGCCTCGACGAGACATCCGCGGGGCCACTTGATTTCATCCTGCTCGGCCTGGGCAGCGCGGGCGCATATGGCCCGCAATATTCTGGCGATGCGCTCAGCTGCCGTCCTACAGATCAGATCCCCACCTGGACCGCCAACTCGCCCGATGACTCGTAGCCCGAAGCATGCTGGGTTGCCGCGTGGGCGACAGCAAGCAGCGTGCGAGTGGTATTCACGGATCCCGAGTTAAACAGCTCCTTCAGCGGGCCGTTGGGATCCAGGTTCGACTCGCGCTTCTGGCACTCCCAATTGGAACAACGCCAACTAGGGTAGTCCATCTGAAGAATGCTGAAGCCCGCGATCTCGACCTCCTTCTCAAACTGGCTCTTCCGAAGATGCAGCTCCATGGTGCCGCGCTTGCACGCCTTGCACTGGCCCTCCAGATCTGGGAGCACGCCGATGTCAATCATGATGCGCGTGAGGAGCTCTGGGCTGATGCGCGCCATGCCGATCGCGGCAATCCGCCGGGACATGGGGCGTGCAGCGGCGCGGGGCCGATGATCCAGCTTCTGCTTCGGGGGCACATATGATGGGCCAGGGGCCTCTTTCTTAGATTGAACCCTGCCCTTCTTCATCATGGACATCTTGCGGATGTGAGTTCCTTTCGTCAGTGACACCCTGCGCGTGACAGAGAGCTTCTTCGCGTGCAAGGTGTGGCACAAACTGGCTTCCGCTTCAACGCGGCCTGCTGCACGCGGTGCGCACGCTTGTGCTTGTCAGCCTGGGAAGCCTTTCCGCCGTGGGGCATGGTTTGCAGCGCGCAGGATGGTGGCAGTGGCCAAAAACGCAATGCTAAGCCCGAGCTAGGGCCAACGAGCTACGGAATACAAAACACACCATGTGCATGAATGCCCTGCGACGGCAGAATTGAAACCCCGCAAACGTGACGGAGGCACGTTGGCCCAAACCCTGTCTCTTGGCATGTTTTGCAGACCCAGGAATGTTAGAACACAGCCCATCCCCGCTCGCGGGCGCTGCTCTCCCTCCCCACCATGCGGGAATGAAATATCGCGCGCGCCCTCGCTGGCGCCTGCACGGCTGCGCATCGGCGGGGGCATGCGCGAATATTCTGCAGGCGCCGCGGCCCCAGGCGCTCAGCACCCGCCACCCATCGCACTCCTCTGCTGCCACGCCCTCGGGCATGCGATGCCAGGACACGTGGCCCGCATGGCAAGTGTGGGTGCCGCCGTCGAAGACGGTGAGCCCACCGACGAATGCCGAGACCGCAACGGCATGTCCCACGACGCCAGGGGGCGCGCCGTAAGTGACGATGCAGCGGCCTGGAGGTGCGCCGCGCGCGCCGCGAACGATGCAGGGGCAATGCTGCGCCCGACGCCTGCGACCGTGTCCCTGGCGTCGCCCATCTGAAAGGCCCGCCCCTGGTGCGCGGGGCGTCGAAGCCGAGCATCTGCAACGCATCGATGATGTAACAGTCCTGGGACGGGTGAGAAGGAGCAAATGAGACTGCGAGGAACGACGTTTCTGCGAACGACAGACACGCGGCTAGCCGTGCACGCGCACATGCATGCGAGAACACCATCGCGCGCGAGCGCGCGATTACGGCGCGCTGCCCACCCTCATGATGCACGACCAGATAGCGTGCACAACCCTTGTTCGCGCATGTGCATTGCGTTGGCCTCCTGCCCCCCCACGACGCGCCGCGCCGATCTGCGGCGCCAGCGACGAGGGACCTTGGAGCCAGACCCGAAGAGGTCGCTGCCCGCGGCGCCGCCCGAGGGGCGCGCTGGCGCAGGCATTTTTGCCCTTTGCGTTCTCTTGCTCGGACGTGGCCTCTTCCACGACGCGCTCGAGCCCGGTGTCCAAATCAAGCTCGCCGTCGTCGCCGATGGCGATCTCGTCGCCCTGCGCCGACTTGGCAAGAGAAAATAAGATTGCTTCCTGTTCCTTGGCATCGATGGGCGGGAGCGGGTCGCCGCGGCAAGTCATCAGGCGCCGCGGCTTCTTGCTGGGCGGAGGGGGAGGCAAGTCTTCGACCGCTCCATGGCGCAACTTGGTGAGGCTGTGGAAGATTGTCACCTGCTCGGCGTGGTCTTCGCCCGATAGCTCGCCATGGCACCCCGCGGTCGGCGGCTGCTCTGCGCCCGAGGGAGATGGCCGCGCGGCTCGCGGTGGCGAAGCAGCCTCCTCGGGATTGCCCATGCCACCTCCGAGGCCGAGCGCGCCCTCCTCTTCCTCATTGGGCTTGGCAATCGCCTCGCGATCCCTGTCGCGCTCGTCCTGCGGGTCCACTGGGCGATCGCCGCGAGAGGGAGGCGCGCGCGACGGCGCGCCCGCTCCCTCGCCCGCGCACAGTCGCGCAGCCGCGCCCTCGCCCATCGAAGGGTAGAAAAAGCGGTCGGGCGCAGCGGGGTCGAACAGCGCAGGGCCTCGCACTGAGCGAGCAGGCTGCACTGCCTCGCCCCTCGCAAGCCTCCGCATGAACGCCTGGCTCCACTTGAGGTCGATGTCGAAGTTGGGCGGCTTCAACGTCTGGTCCTTCCTGTACTTCCTCATGGTGTCCTTGCACTCTGGCGCGAACAGGTCGGTCTGGGCTGGGCTGGGCTGGGCCAGTCAAACCAGGGAACTGGCTTGTGCTCCGTGGAAGCCAGGCGGAAGTGCATGCGCCTGTCCGTCAGCAGGACGACGTGCTTCCTCGCGAGATGCGCCTCCGCACCTGCCATCCCGAACGACCACCGCGCGTCGCGGGGAAAGCCCACGGCGATGATGCGGGCGAAATCGTCGTGTGAGATCTCTTCGGCGCCAGGGCGGGCGGGCTGAACGCGTGCCTCGAAATCCTTATCGTAGGCGTTCGCGCAAGACTGCTGCGCCTGATTCATCGTGAACTGCGCGCCACCCCGACGAGCCCAGAGCAGCGCGTCCTCTTCGGCGGGGTCATGGAACGCCTTGACGTCGTCAGTGCCCCACTTCGACAACACCGTGTCGTCGGCAATCGTTGGCTTGAAGATGCTCCCTGGCTCGAGGCGGAAGAAATCGATCCTCTTGGTGGTCACGACACTCGGCATCAGATCAGAGCGGCCGTGCTTGTCGATCTGGCACGCCGAGACTGCGAAGCAAGTCGTCTTGGAAGCGGAAGACTTCCCGACGCGAGTCTTCCTCGCCCGCGTGATCCCGCGCACGTCGTGCGTGCGTGAGGCGGGGGCGATGATGTTGTTCAGGACCCTTGTTTCAATTGCCTCAACGTGTGGCGCCACGACATCAGCGTCCGCGCGCCCACGACGCCGCCGGCGTAGTTCCGCGAGCTCTCTTGCGAGGCCGCCAAACGCACGCGCGCCCGTGCGCCCCTCGTCATGCTAGCGCGACGCGCAGGTCTCTGCCCAGCGCCAGGGGGTGGGGGCACTCCAGGGCTCGCGTCCATTTAGCCGCCTGGTCCTTGACGCCCCCAGGCGTCCACCCGAATGCCGGGCTGGTCTCGAGGTGGATCTGCTCGTCTGTCCACTCGACGAACTGGTTACGAGAGTTGCTCCGCGGCCCATGGTCGCGAATGAATGCGTAACCAGCAATTCGAGCGGCCCTGTCGTACGTGCCCATTTCCGCTCCCTCCTTCACAGATGGCTGCGCGAAGTAGCGGTACTGCACGCCCCCCAAGCGGTCCATCGTGAAGTGGAACAGCTTGCGCACCCTCTTCGTGTCCGCAGTGCGGTCCCAGTGGATCGTCAGGGGCGTGCCCACGATGAACAGGTCCTTTTACCGCGTCGACGCGAGTACTCTTGTCGAGCTTGATGTACTGCAGCACTGCCTGCACTCCGTCGACGTCGGTCGGCAACGCGTAGATCTGCATCGTGAACACCAACTCGTCCGTGACCTTCTTCGGCTTGAACAGAAACGGCAGGGACGCGTAGTCTGCGCGGCGCATGATGTCGACCATGTCCACGGCGCTTGTGTCGGGCAGCTGCTGGCACTCCGTCCCGATCTTGACCCAGTCCACGACGTGTTTCATGTTTACCACGTTATTGACGTCCCTCAACGGCATGTCTCACAAACGATAACAGCCAGGCGGATCCGAATCAAAGCGCGTCGGCTTCTCGAGCCGAGCGTGAGAGTTCAGGGTCTCCATGCTGCCCCAGGCCTGCGCGATCTGCTCGGTGGCCGACTCGTCCCCCGCGAGCATCTCCCCCATGGATTTGACACCCCCTGCCACGAGG